AACACTTATCTACCACAATGCTCCCGATAAGAAGCCACTGTTTATTCACTTAACACATATTATATCTTTCCTAACCCTTCTAAGACTGTCCAGGTGTTTTCCTTACATTTTTATTCTTTGGTGCACCTTTACCGTATAAACTTTCAACTTCCTGACACCATGTTAAAACTGATAGTCTCTGAAGAGAATATTCTCTTGCTTCTACTTCATGTATTTGTGGCAGGTTTTGCTGTTTGTTTGTTTTTAGTTTTCCTCCTTTGTTTTCTTAATGTATCTGTGTTCTGGGAGTGTTGTTGTGCTTTGCAATAATAAATCTCTTTGATAAACTTACTTTGTATCTTTTCTTGGGTTTTTGTATTTTCTAAGATAACCTTTCACAACTCTTTTTCTCTGGGACTGATAAACCACGTGGGTTTGATATAAGTGCAGACTGCCAGCTGCTGGCAGGCCGAGAGGAGAGATTACCCTGCCTTTGCCTTGCATTTGCTGCTCTTGCCCCAGTCCACTGCTGCCAGCTCTGTCCAGAGTGGGGGTACCAAGATGGATTGCTCAGTCTGACTATTTAATTTTCTCATGCAACTTTAAATCCCTCATATTTGTTAACATTGGGGAAGATGTGGGAACATATATGGTGTGTCAAGGGGCTGATTCCACCAGGATCTGAGAAATGCTGGTACATCCACGTGCCTTATCCCCATGTCTCTGTGACGTTGTCTCTGAGGCTCTAGATGAAGCAGTGCTGGCAACCAGAGGCTCAGGCCAGCCTCAGAAAGCAGTACCTCTTCCCAGGGCAACCTCAGATGTTATGATCTTCCTTTCTTGTAAATACCCCACCCTTCTGTAATTCCTCTGGTCCACATGGTGCAGAGGAAGGATCTGAGCAGGGCTCAGGATTGTCCCACGTGTGGCACTGCAGCTACCTTGTCAACAAAAAGACTCTTTTCCTTTTTCCCTCTTATTTCAGTTGCCTGCTCTCTTAGGTTCAGTGGTCACATCTGTTAGTATGTTGGGACCTAATGACACACAAAAGGAGAGCTAAAAAGAGCCTTTCATTCTGAAATTACTTTACTAGTGCAGAAGCCTGGTTTATACTGCCACTATCTGTCCACCTTACCTGCTGCAGCCCTTTCCTGCAAACACACACACAAACAGTTCATGCACATTTTCCCACAGCTACTAACAGTTTGCAGAAGGAAGTGAGAGACATTAAGGATTTTATTTTATTGCTCTTTCTGTCCTGGAGAGTTTGATTAGGCATTAATAAGTTAAAAACCATTTTTACATTATCATGTTTTTTCTACCCTTGTTTTAAGTAGGTATACATGTCTTCTAACAAATTTTTACGTGATTCTGCCTCCATTCCTCATCCTCTGAACCCCATTTTGAGCCTTTGCCAATGCTTCCCAACCAAGCAGTCCTTTCCAGCTGGTGCAGTTAGGCAGGTCTGCAGCCCCAGGCTCCCTAACACCCTCCAAGGGATCCTTGACAGCCCCTGCCTGCAGCAGTTTGTGCCATGCACATTGTTCTTAAAACACCTCATGGCCATTGTGTCTCATTGTAAAAAAAGAGAATTAAATCCATGATAAGCTTAGACTCAGATCTACAAGCATATTCATATTTTTAAATTATATCAAAACCAGAGAGGAAACGTACTCCTCCTGAGGTCACTGAGGTTAAGGTGATGGAAATGTTATAACAGGTCTCCAGCATCTTGAATCTCACTGCCTTTGGTAGCAGCAACTGAAGGTCCACAGCCTCCAAACCCTGCTCAGAGTGGCAGATAAAATGCCTTGGTCAGAGAAAGTAACTGAACAATTTGGGTTTGAGAAATGAAGAAGGTATTTAATGCTGTGCACAACACTTAGAATACTTAGATTAGATTGGTTTTGTTTCTATCTGTCAGAGTCCAAATCTACATCTGCTTCCCTGCAAAACCTCTTATCTGCCACATTAGAGGCTGCCTGGGGCAAGAATGCTCTTCCCTCCACACTTGCCAGGTGCGATTTTTCCCATCAGAAAAAAAGTGTGCTTTATTATTCATTAGAGAGCGTAGGCTGGAAGGGAACGCCCAATTCTCCACAGATTAGGATCATAGGGAAGGGAAAACCTAGAAGTCCAATTCCTACTTGAAAGAAAAAAGAGGTTTTTGACATCTTTGCTAATGACTTTCTTGGGTGTTTGCCCTGTAAACTCCATGTCTTGATGCCTAAGAAAGTTAAAGTGCCTGCTGACACCTATCTGCTGTTCTCTGAAGACACAGGCACCTTTCCTAGAGAAGGACTAGGAAAGTTGCTATTCCCCTTATGGAAGAATTGGTGGAAACTTCAGCCCCTATGTATTTCTGTGATGTAAGTTTAGGACAGTATTTAGGAAGGCTCAGCAGCTGTGTCGCAAGTATAGGGACAAGAATCTCACTTCTGACCATTCCTCAGAAACTGATCGCTCAGTAGCAAAGGCACTGAAAACTGCACAGCACTCAGAAGTAAGGAGCTGACTGACTAATGTGAGCTGTGGAGAGGGTGCTGCACAGTATTCAGCACTACTGCCCAAGTTTTGAGGATGGACAGGCTCTTCTCTGGTGTGTTTTTGTTTTCCCAAGTTCTTCCTTTATCATGTACCAATTAAATTTCTAAATTTCCCTTCTTCACTCCCAAACTGTTTGTTCCAATCCCCTTAGGCTTGCTATTTGCAAGTGTGTACAGAAGTTTAACCCACTATCTTTCTGAAGCCAGCTGTGGCTTTGCTTTTTTTAAATACCACCTCTATCAAATAAGAAGTTGCCCTACTTAATGCCAGCCATTCCTCAGTAGAGAGACCACAGGTGTAAAAGGCATGAGAAGAGAGCAGCAAACCCCAGACTAATGGGGAGCAACAAAAACCTTTTTGCTTTGGGAACCCTTCTTGTTGGGCAAACCCCAGCTTAGGGTGTCATCACCTTTTGTTGGCTCTTATTAGCAAGCAGGCTCTTTCAGTGCTCTCCTATTCCTCTCCAAAGCCATCCTACCACACCTCTACAGCTTTCTCTTGACGCTTTTTTCTCTGTTTAGTTTCTGATACTCTGAAGTTTTCCTGTGAGCACGCATCTATTCTATTTCAAGATATCTGTCTCTACTCTGCTTGTAAGGATCCCCCATCTCATATTTTGTCTAAACTTATTGCTGGCCAATTTCTAAAGTCTTTGCCTGACTGGTCTTGTTGGATTAGGACAAAGTGTATGAAATACATAAATGCTTGATGCTGTTTCAAGAAAGAAGACTTTTTCAAAATTCAGAAATATTTCCTAATGTTTCATAAATTCAGGTAAGGAGTAATTTGCTTTTTAAAAATGTGTTTTATAAATACTCCCTCAAGTGCAGCAGTTTGCAGTTTAAAAGTTTGTATTAATGACTCCTTTTGTTTTCTCAAAGCGTACCTTAAGTTCAATCTAAATTAACCACAGAAAAGGTCAAAAAAATTTTTCCAACTTTTCTGGAGCACAACTAACCTAATATTTAGCAGCTGGCAGCTGTGGTGATTACTTTTGGATTATATCTAAATTCTGCTGGAATCTAATTACTGTGATCTATGAACCAGGTAATTAAGGTAAAAACTCCCACATTTTCTTACACCTCATTAATGTATTTCCTTTGAAAATTGTTAGCTAATGATGGTACATTAAGAGTTTATCCATTACATGACAATGAATAATTAACACCTTTGTCCTGGGACATTAAAGGACAGAATGGTGTTTAACTGCTCAATGTGATGACAATTATTTCTTAATTTACAGTGCAAATATCATGCAAGTTTGTGGAGAAAGGACGAATCAAACAGGGAAAATGGAATGGAAAAAAATTTTTTCTTTTCGTAGAATTGCAGGAGGATTTGGATTGGAAGGGATCTGAAAGGTCATCTGGTTCCAAGCCCACTGCTGTGGGCAAAGACATCTTTCATTCATTTCTTTCTTTCTCAAGAAACCTCAAGTCCTGTCTGTATGCAGGACCCCTGACTCACCTCCCCACAACCTCTGTTTTCAAGTTATAACGGATTCCAAATGTGTATTATCACCCTGAAGACTGGGACCAACACTTGGGTTTGAGTGTTCCAGCTACTGGGAGTGCAAACATTGCAAATACAGCTTTTCCTCAGTAACCAAATCCAATATATGACATACTACAACAAGTGGATTAGACACGGGGCAATGGAAAAGCAACCTGTGGTTATGCAGGGCACATTATCACATAAATTCATATACAGATCAAAGTTTTCTTGAAGAAAGTGGAATGAATGAAGTACAAGAAATCTCTGTTGTCATGTAAAAGCTGGTGCGGAATAAATTAATTTGCGTCAGGACTGCTCGGGACTGGCTCTGTTTTACCACGTGAGGCATGTACTTGTTGCAAAACAGCAGAGCAAGGGAGTCTATCTGTACTCAGGTATCTAATCTGAAAAGCCTGAAAGCTTCCAGTTTGATTGCAGCTGCTCTGCGAAATAACAGTTTTGGTGGGAAACAGTCAAGGCATTGCTTTTAGACCAGAACTTCAAAAAAAAAAAGGTTTCTCATGATCATCATCAAGTAATTAAATATCTGGTGGAATCCCTGCCTGGAGGGGAAAAAAAACCAAACCAAACCAAAACAAAACAAACCAAACAAAAAAAAATTAAATAAATAAATAAATAAGCCCACAGTCTGAAACAGAATATATTTTGCTTTTAATTTTATCTCCAATTAGGATACATTATTTCTAAAGCCACAAAAAGTAGTAAAGTAAGATTTTTCTGTGAGGTTTTTTATTTATAAGGAATTGAGTTAAACAAATGAGATAACTAGGAAAATTAAGGTTAAAAATATTGATTCCATATGAGGGAGAGAAACGCATGGCTGCTCAGGAAATCCTGCTGTAAGAAATTACCAAAGCCAGATTACCAGACACGTCTGCTAAAAGATTCAATCAATCCACCTTGGAACCGCTCTTTCTCGAGGAACTGGAAACTTTCAAATCATCCCCTTCCAAACAATCCTAAAACCCTATTAGGTCAAGGAGTTCGAACTTCTGGCTCCCAGACAAGCTTTCAATCAGCTCTCGGCCCTTTTGTCTTCCTGCTTCGGTGGACATAGCCTTTTGCCAGAGCTTCAGCAGCACTCCTCCTTGGAAAGAAACACAACACGACATATCAATTTAGCATGGAGCGCATGCAGCTCGCGGCGTACCCGGGACCAAGTGCGCATCTGGCAACAAGCGCTCAACACTCTCACGGGGACACAGAAATGTGGACAAAGCTGCAGCTTGCCGTTGGGGTGATAATTGTCTACAAGTGTGCAGAGAGACGCCGATCATTCATTCAGCTCAGGGTCCTTTGTACTGACAGACAACGGGGCCTGTTCCCTTGTCACCAGGGTTGCAGGTCGAAATGATTGAAGACTTATGGGAAGGTCTCTGTCTGCTCTGGCACGTAGCTCCATGGTTTATGGAGCAGTAGCCTGGGAGTTATAGTCAGGTCTGCCTTCTTTTTCACTCTAAAACAAAGAGTGTTCACTTTCTGCCGGCTAAGACCTCAAGCTAAGGAAGTAAATGATCTTAATACTTTTGTCCAGGTAATAAACAGTGGCTCTCTAGGACATGTGGCTTGGCCAACCCAGCCTAGCATTAGCACGGGTTTGCAGGATAGTCACTGTTTACTCCTCATCCACTCAGTGCCCATCTTTAGAGTGGATAGAGGGGAAATCTGAGGGTAAAAATGTCTAGTGTAAGAAGAATTTATTCTCCTCCTGTTCTGCCTTTGGGTAAAAAGTTGATTCAACAGTCCATGAATAGAAAAGCTTTAGAAGCAGCACAACACTCTCAATACACTTCCTGCTGGACTAGCAGGGGCAAGTGAACAAAAATAAAGAGTAATCAAACTCTGAATCAAGAAATCCAGTCTCACTCTGGGTTGGACAGGGTCCTGTCCTAGGAGGTAATAAGACCCTCTATCTGCTGTTGGAGTTTGCAGTACCAGTAGAGAACCCTGTCTCTCACAGTACGTATTTAAAAACCAGTATATTTTGTCACCTGTGTTTTGGAGCACTAAGGTAGGTTATTTCAGGTCCCTGCTGAGGCTGTGAATTTAGATGCAGTCAAATTTATTTTAAAGTTCATTTTTCTGATCTGCAAATTAGTTACCAGGCTGAATTAGCTGGCATTTAATTCTCAGCTGAATTCAAAGCTCGTCCCTTAGAGCAAAGGCAGGGAAATCTCTACCTGCAAAGCAAGGGATTTCAGCTATAGGATTCGTTATGGCTGCACCTGCATGAAACTTCTCTCTCCTTCCATTTATGATGTTCAACATCCGTACATCCTTCCCTCTCACCCTGCAGTGCTGTCCGCACCTGATGTGTTACCCTGGTGCTCTCATCCCTCCTTCCTGTCCTTTTGGTCATGCTTTTCTTTGCTCTGCCCCTCTCCCTTCCTAGAGGTATGTTAAGAAACCCTGAACTGTGTCATAGGCTGCCAAGCAGGCAATAGATCTGTTCAGACCCTTATTCAGATTCCAACAAATAATGCTATGTGAAAAATGTGATGGGAAAATGTTCTTTCATAGCACTGCATAGCTTTATTTCACATCTTTTTTAGCTTTAAATCCAACTGGTGAGAGACTTTTTGGGGAAATGTACAGATAGAAAAGGATCACAAGTGTCATAGCTATGCATGCCAATTTTTCAGTGTATTTTTACATCCTATTTTAATTTAAAGATTCAAAATAACTTTGCTTCATAAAGGTCAAACAAAAATAGCCAACCCAAAAGAATCTATGAAAGAACTGAATCTTCAGGAGAGTGTAATTCTGTGTTGCACCACTGGATGGTGATGTACGATTTGTTTTGGTGAATACAATGAAGACAGCATTGACTAAGGATACAGTTCTGCTGGGACAGATCTCTGTTAAATCAAACACTGAGAGAAAACCAAAAACTGAAACCAGAACACTTGTGGGCACAAAAACTGTTGCTCATGATAATTTACTTTTTGTTTGTTTGTTTTTGTTCAACTGGTCTAATAATTCAATTTACAGTCTTAATAGTTTCAGATGCAACTGACAAAAAAAGTTTCTGTTTTTAAAGTTCCTGTGAAAACTGGGAAAAGAAAGAGTAAGATCATCTGCTCCCAATATATTTTTTTTCTCACTGAAATCCCTCATATTGTCAGTGTTATCCCACCAGCATTTGCTGTCTGGTGTGTTGTTTGCTTATGGTTGTATTTTTGATGTGTTATAATACTTTATATCAAACACCCACTGTATTCGTATGGAGAAAGGTATGTAGAGAGAACAAGATATTAAATACCTATGGACAACAGACATCTGTATGTCAGGCTCATACCTGTCATTTTATTTACTTTGTGAAGAGCTCTCAGTGATACCAGGACCTTATTTTGCTCTGGACTGAAGTCACTAATGGATGGGAGAACATCCCCTTTAACAAGCATCCTCTGGGGCAGGAAAGCCTGGAACTCGTTTGTGGTCACTAAGTCTGTACTGAAGTGTGTGGCGGCAATGAAATCTACAGCATTAGCCCAGTCTTCACCAAAATTTGCTTCTGGATCAGAGAGATATTTTAAGCTGAAAGAGAAGAAAATAAAAAATGGCAGATAACTGAACTCTCCTGTAGAATACACTAGTTCATAATTTATCCCAAATGTTTTTGCTCAGTATAAAATCCTGAGCAGCCTCAGCACCACAGTCACTTGAAGCCTCCTTAGGTACTTTGTACCCAATTTCCCCTGGCAACCCTGCCTCTTTCCAGATTAGACACAGCTCCTGAATCAGGCCCTGGCTCCCAGAGGGGAACCAGCATCTCATTTTAAGCCCAGAGCCTGAGTGGTCATTGCAGTTTGGGCAGCCATCTCTCACTGGTCATTCCACACTCTGAGAGGGAGGAAGGAAGAGCAGAGCCTAAAGAGCAGGTGCCTAAGGTATGGGGGGTCATGCAGACTTTGTTAGGATACCATCCTTCCAAAGAGGCCTGGAGGTGGAAAGATGCTGCATGGACACTGCTATATTCCCCTTACCTGTCCTGGAATTTGGGGAGTGCATAAGCAATGGAGGAGGTGTGAGCCTTCCACATGAGGCCAAGGGCATCGTCCAGTTTGAAGGAGGAGAGGCTGGCAGACCTCAGAACCTTGTGTTCTGTAGATAACAGATACTGCAGCAACAGGGAGCAAAAAGGGCAGAGAATGTGAGAGGAGGTTTAAACCAAATTCTTATTTTTTTATATAAGAACATACCTCACAAAATAATAAGCTAAAGGAAATTGCGTTTGAATAGTTAATGATAGTTGCTGTTCTTCAACTTCAACATTGCAAAGGCTTTATTCACATAATTTCAGTATTTGGTTACAAAAATTCAGTGGACTTTTGCATCTGTCTGCCAGTACTGAAATAGGGGACTCCTTATTATCTTAAAAATCTTATCTATGTTTTTTTGACCACAACTTCTGAACGTAAGAAAATTATCCTTGTCATTATGGTTGTTTGTAGTAGATATTTTACAATAACTTCTAAAACATGATGCTGGGAAAAATGATCTTATGAAGACAAATCCAGTCTTATTCTTAAGAATAAGACTTACTTTCACACACTTACAGTTTAAGGGGAACTTACAGTTTAACATTCCTGCTCATTATCAATTATTTGACTACCAATAAAAAATATTGACTGCAGTAGTCTAGCTATAAAAATAGCTATTAAATCTATGAAGTAAGAAATATTGTTATTTTTGGGATTAGAGAACAGCTGAGTGAGCAGGAAAGATAATATCTACTTGCATAAATAGGTGTCCTTCTGAAAGATGTTTCAGCATTTTCAAGTTTTTAGATGTTGAAAGAAATAAACAAACCTTATAAAACCAACCAAAGGCCACTTTTTAAGGGCAGTGTTCCACCTCACAGGCTTATTTTGCATTGTTAATATAAGCAGTATTGGAAGAATACAAATATAATTGAATACAAAACAGTGTCTTGGAACAGATACCAAAATACAGAACTGTCTTAAAGGAAAAACTCCATAACTTTTAAAAATCCTATCCTACTTCTCTTTGACTCACTGTATGTTATGCTTTCCATTTTTCCTGCTTGTTGTTTTTATATGACGCTGCTATTGAAAACAAACTAAGCTCTCTAAATCTTAAAAAATGACAGTAATAATAGTTTTTAAAGCTAATATATTGGTATAATTTATGAACATATTTTTAAAAAATTATTTACTTCAAAAAAGGCCTTCCAGTCATCCATGAGCTTGGGCATGCGAGACCAGCAGTCCTTAACACTGTAACAGAAATCATCTTTTTGCTCCTCTGGTGGCAATATTTCTATCTCATATGGCAGCTGCCCAAAGAGACCAGCCTCCACTGCCCCCAGAAAGGGTATAATGGACAGATAGTAATTCATACCTGTAACAACAATTAAAAAGCAGCAGGTGTTAATCACAAGCAAATTAAAAATTCCCACATAAGAAAATGAACTCTCTCCCACACCAAACACAACTGTTTCAAATTGCCACAAATACAACTGTGTTCAGAAGTGGAATAGATGTACTGAAATGTAATAAAGATGACACTTGTATTGATTTAGATATGATTTGTAGTGTTCATTTATGCATCATCATTTAAGAACCTTGTATGAGCTTCCACTGTGCTTTACTTTGCAGGAAAGGAAAAAAAACTAATGGAAAAAAGTTAAACCTTTGGAGGCTGTCACAGACATGACAAGAAAAGTCTCTCAAATATTAATTGCAAACTAAGTATAAAAAGACTAAGGGGTATTCCATAAGCATTGTTGCTATTAAAAATCCCTCTTCTATGTACCCATGACCTATGAGAAAGGAAAATGTGATATTTTACTGGAAAATAATAATTTTGCTGCTAAAAAATATTTTACTCACTGAAAATTGCTTGGATGATGCCTCAGTTTATCTGTTTAGATTTATTTTATGATGATGGCTTTCTTTGGTCTCATCCGTAAGTTGGATGAGTCAACAGGCTGAACTTGTCTTCTTCCCCCAAAGGGATGCCTATTGGGCAAGAACCTCATTCTGTGCAAGCTAAATTATTATTTCTACCTAGCTTTAATTGGGGATTAGAATTGGTCAATATATTGCTTCAAAGTAATTTTTGCAATCAGTTACTATCAACAGCAATCTCTGAACCTTAACCTGTCACAGCGTTCATCGGTGTCTTTGTTAATAAAGTGTGTTATTCAGTACAGTATTTGGTGTGAGTCCTTCAAGGGCATTAAGGGAGGAGTGGCCAGAAGCAGATAACATACTTGACAAAACTGGAAATATCTTCCAATTCCAAGTGGGAACATTGCTGGTGTGTGACCCTAAACAGGTTGGTCAAATCATGCTCCAATAGAGTGGACTACCCCATAATGGGGCACTGACAGGCTGGTCAGGCACAAGGGTTTCAGCTTCTCTGGGGGTGCTGACTGAACAAATATAAAGGGTTGTATATAAAAAGAAACCCCTTGTCTCATGTGACACAGCTCCTAAATGTGGACCTGGTTGAAAATTCAGGAGAAAATGTAAGGCCAGTCAGAAGTGAAAAGGAAAATTCTCAAGTGATGAGAAGATAGTGTTTCACTGGCACTCATTGCTGAACTGGCTCGTGTTTCTTGTTCACTGTTTTAATGAAAAGTATTGAAACCTTGAACTCACATCACAAAGTGATTATATTATTTTAAGTGTTCTTGCCTATATTATATATTTGCACCTGCTTGGGTGACTTAGAGGGCATAAAACAATGCATGACACAAGTATACTAAATATTATTCTAGGGAAAGAGACTGATGTTCTTAAGCAGGTAGTATCCCATACACCTGAGGTATATTAGATGTGAGTTTCTGGTTTAAACTTATTCCTGGTTTCATGTGACTACTTGTGCCAGAGAGGGCTGCTCTGAAAGCCAGATGAAAGTTTTCATATCCTCAGAACACTGAGACGTGAAGTTTCCATGAAGTCTCAAGGACTCTTTACATATTCTTGCTTCAATAGGGTAAATCAAAGCTGAGTTTGTATTTTCTGAAGGCAACTAAATGTATATCAAGCAAACATGCAATATTTAGAAGTAAATGAACAGCAGGAATTCAAGCACTGAGAAAGTAAAAGTGGAAGATTCTATTCCAGGAAGGTCCCCTGCTTGCAAAGGGCTGTGCAGTCCCACAGAGCACTAGTGTTATCCAAACACAGAGAGGGAAAACCAAAGCTCAAGTGAGCACCACAGTCAGTTTTGCCCTAGATTTACATTTTTAATTTTATCTATGCTTATGTCTTTGTTCACTTGAAGATACATTTAACTGTTGATTCACAGCCAAAAGCTTAATCCAAAGGCCACTGAAGGAAAAACATTCATGTGGCAGGGAAGGGACAGAGCTGCTTGCTCACACCTACTGACAGGTCTGGGGAAAAGGGGAACATACAACAGGACATCAAGGAAGCTCAGGGAGCAAGGGACAAGAGTGATGGAGGGAAAATATGCTAAGGGAAGAAGAACCAAGGATGATATAAGAATCATAAAGATTCCTGCTTTTCTCACAAAGTTTTAATTTTAAGTACAAGCATCTAAACTGAAGAAATCTGCTCTGGACTAATTGTAAACTGCAAATATCTACAAATATATATACCTGTCATAGTGTTTCCCACACATTTTCACATTAATATTTGCAGTATAAATATTTTTAAGGCTGCAGACTGGTTGGGTTTTTTTCTCCTTCCTTAAATAAGTAGTCAAAATCAATTAACTATCATTTACCCAATCACACTTAGGTGTCTTGTTGAAAGATTGTGATGGAGAATTACTGGAGAATTACATAGTACTGAAATTATAATGTAATAGAGAAGTTTAAGGGGAAGAAATATTTTTCAGCTGGTTTTCTAGGACATTAATTTATTTTGTAGAAGAACAGTGTGACAGCATATACTTACAGGACCACCAGCTTCTTACAGATTGGCACAGGATCTCTCCATTTTCATAGCCACAGGAAGTCACACCAGAAGGGTCTGCTAACCTACCTGAATGAATTAAATGAAATAACACAACAAATACTTCTCAAACTTTTCACACAAGAAATCCCACTGAGATGGAAGAGACATAAAGGAATAAAGCAGGCAGACTTTTGGTTAGAGGAGCAAAACAATTACTATTGCTTTGCTTCATAAACTAAAGTCCTAAAGTAGTTGTGTTTCTCATTGCATAGTAATTTGATAATGTTTAAATTTTGAGCTATCCCTCACTGTAAATGTATTCTGGGAATTTATTGAACTGTTTGAAATCAGGACATCACAGTATTTTTAGTGACATATAAATATACATTCTCATACAGACATGAACATGCATAGCTGAAGCACCATTTCTAGTAGAAGTAGGGCTGCTAGTTCAGGAGAGCTGCTAAACAAGCAAAATAGCACAAACTAAATGTACTAGTAATTGCCTCACCTAATTAGGTTGTGTGATACAGAATCACTTCCAGCTTAATCACACAGACAAACGTGGCCTTACTGTGAAGCTAAGCACGCAAACATTGTTGTAACTAATTAGCAAAGTTTGCAAGCATCTCTGCTGTAGAAAACGTGCAAGACATTTCACAATTACTCATGACAGAATATTTTACTTTAAGCACACGGCATGAAGAAATAGCCTAAGTCCTAAAAGAATGCCATACGTGTACATTAAGTGTTGTCATGCAGAGTGTCGGGAAGTCTGCATTAAGTGCATGACATGCAACTACTATGGCCTTGTGCAACGACTTGAGCTATTCCAGAAGCTCCCAAACTGCCCTGCAAAGCACTTGCCCTCCAATGAATCAGCTGAATAATGGCAGTGTCATTTCTGTCAGATTAGAACTAAACCTCATTACCAAACCAAATTTTCTGATACTTACACTCAAGATTGTGCATACAAATTATCCTAATTATTCTCCTCAGCTGACTGGGCAGAGCTAGTGCTTTGGGGCGTGCGAGCTACTCAAACCTGTATCATTCAGTAGCCAAGCACTGAGGATATGAACTCGCAACACTGAGGGTTGCAAGTCAACCCATTTTTTAAATGAAGATTATATTTTTTAATATTTACAGAAAGATTAAATTTTTCAAAATTTTACTTCAAAGACTGTCAAAAAATAGGCAGCAATAGATCACTGGTGTGCAAAGGGGATGAATGGGAAGGATAAAGGATAAGAAGAAAAAGACAACATGTTGCAAAGAATTGTACATGAGGTTTACCAAATATTGTTAGCTTTGGTGTTTCAGGAAAATTAAGGTTTCTCAGGCAGTATCACTGATAATTATAAGATATGTAGAAATTGGAGCTGGAAGCATTAACTGAACTTACAGATCTCTACATCATTTTTCTTGTCTCTGCTTCCTCCTATTCCCTGTGCTTAACACCATTGTTTTTTCAGTCTTCAGGTCTACCCAAGCTAATCGGTATTGATAGTTCCTTCCAGCTGTGTTATTGACAACTATGTGAAACCTCATCAACAAGATTTCTCCACTTTTATTTGTGGAAATGTTGTTACTGAAAGTGCTAAATGTAGTTATTCTCATCTTGCTGATGAAGAGCTCCTAACACATCCTCCACTTAGCTGCAGATTTCTTTTAGCAACAGTTATCACTAAATTCTCCTTCAGGTGTTCTTTTACCAGATTTGCAGTTCCTCTGTCTTGTAGCATTTAAAAATTTCATTCTAAGCTTTCCTTTTACAAAGGGAGTAAATGCAGTTCTGAACTTTGAAAAAACCCCAACATTTGTATCATGAAAGGAGATATCAAATTAGCTTGACACAATCTACTTTCAATTCACATAACCTATGCTTTATCCCTTTTTCTATCTGGTTCCATGTCCTTAAATATTTTTTCCTCCATACTTATTCTAATATCTTGTTTACTGCTGATATAAGACAAATAAATATATGTGCTCTTATCTCCTTTTTTCTTCTTAAGTACAAGCACAATGTTTCCTGCTTTGCAGATATACAATACCATGTGAATCTTAAAGTTCCTGATCCTGGATTTGCACTTCTGTATGTGAAGTGGGGATAGAGTCTAGCCAGTTTCCTCAGTTTCTGTAGGTAGGATTCTCAGTTTAGCTTTATCTCAAGTGACAATTTCTGCCTCCACAATCTCATTCCTAATAGCTATGCTGTCTCAAGATCATTGTCTCTACTGTAAATGTAGGCAAAATACTGATTTCCTTTTATGTCCCTGAGTGGATTATCACAAATCTTCGTACCACACTTATTAAGTAACAGCTTCACTTGTTCTTCATGGTTTATACAGAGCCATCTCCATAAAAATATTCTCTCAGTAACATAACTTTCATGACAAGACAGAACTGTTAATTCAACAAATTTTGTAATATTTTCAAATTCTGTTGTCTTGCATAATGAACTCAAGTCCTGCTTTTGTTTGCCCAAGCTTATTATGCTCATATACAAATGCTTCAGCCATTCATCACTAATCTATCCCACCGCCTACCTGGATTAGGTTTAGCCCTTGCTAACCTCACTACTATATGCACCAGACTTATGTTATTATTTGTCCCTTATCCATTTATCCTTAAAATGCTCACTTTTTTTTTTTTTTAACTGCAAAACTACTTCCAGCTAAGCGATATTTCTCCTTTTAGTATTTTTTTAACCTTCTGGTCATGTAAATTAAAAAAATTTGTCTAAGTGTCAGTCCTATGACTCTTTGGCACGTGACAGTACATCTTTACCTGTCTATGCAACCAGGGGCAAATCTTCCCCTCACAAACTATGTCCCTTGTCTCTACTTGTCACTGCAACAAGGCACATCCTCACTTTGTGGATGAGGCCATACTCTACAACTCCTCCTTTCCAGCAGGTCACCACTCAGCTGCTGCATCCAGTCATCATTGCCTCTGCCACAGATTGGGTCAATTCTTGCACTGTACCAGCCACACATTTCATCTGGTCTTTTTTTGTATAAATAAAGAAGGGAAAGAGGAAAAAGCTTGCCTAAACGCCAACCAAATTCTTTTTGTTGCTGTTTGCCAGCTAGTTTCCTGCCTGGATTTTTCTTACTGTTGTTTTCCTCATTTTGACTTAGAGTAAATTTTCCATTAGGTGTGACTAAATGCTGGCAGCGCTTCCTTCACCACCAGGTGCAGGACCTCCGTCTTCTCTCAAACCTACAGTGTCACCCAAACCACCACCACATGTAACTACAGGTTGCATCCAATAAAGAAAACAACAGGCAGTCAGATGTGTTTGTTTACCCCTGATAAGATATTGCAGCCTTAGCCTTAAGGAACCTTTCACATGTGTTTCTGTGTCTGCTCCCCTGGCAGGGACAACAAGAAAACCAGAATGACTGCCCTAGACAACAACCAGCTATTAGGGGATAAACCCTTAGAATCTGGACATAATTTAAAACAAAACAAAACAAAATAACCAAACAAACTCCACAAACAAGCAATCAAAAACCAACCAACCAACCAACAACAACAAAAAACCAAACCAAACCAACAAACAGAAAAAACAGTCAATTTTTGTAAAAAACATATTTAGAAAATAAGGAGGCTACTTCTAAACTGATCATGAAGAATAAATGTAAATAGGTTCTCAGAGGGAGATGTGGACTTTCAAATATGTCTTAGAAATAAAACTCAAACCACCTCTAGAAGCTTGTAGCATTAACAGAAATAAAAGCCTATTAGTTAACAATTTAAGAACATCATTGTAGAATGCATGCCCTGAAATCTGTCTACATGAACTTAAGCAACTGGGAATGCCTTTCCAAAGATTTTTAGTTAGCTGAAATATTGCCCATCTATACCATAAATCTGGGTTCTGACCTCTTCCTATAAGGAATTTTAATAGTTATTTCTCAGCAAGGTAAGGGTGTTCACTCAGCTTTTCTTTTTCAAATTGGCAGTTCTGTCAAAGTTTACACTGTCTGAGGCCGTATTGGGCTTGTGAGGCAGAAACCTTGGTAAGGAAGCCTCTAAGCAGGTCTAGTAAACATTTTGCTGAGTCAGCATCTTAAGAAAATAATTCATACCTGTACGAAATTGCCACCCATGCTGCAGTGGTAATCCCCAGAGAATATTGCCACTGTTTTTGGGTCCAAATGCATCAAAATATTTGGCTGAAGCATTCAGCAAGCTCTTATACACTCCCAGTCGATCTTGATAGTTCCAAGCGCTGATGACAATTTTGTTGTCCTTTACTGGGAAATCCAGCAGGTTTTCAGGGGCCAGGTCCCACAGAGGGGGATAGACATCTCCAGTGACATCGTTTTCACTCTGTGCCACAACAGTCACAGGACTCAGGGCAACAGTCACTACAAGAAGAGTGTGTAAGCCAAAGCAGGGCCACATTGTGGAGGCTTGTGACCCAGGTGATTGTGGCTGCAGGGCTTTTATCAGTAAAGGAGAGGGCTGGACAAAAGGCTGACTCAGACACACAAGCCTTTGTCTCCCTTCCCTTTCCCAGCCATGACCCTGATGTGGAGTTGCCAGATTAGCAACTGTGAGCAGTGCTCTCTCCTCTCTGTGGGATCTAGGGAGCACCAGCAGGTGTTTGAGAGGAATCAATCTAATCAGAAAATGTCCAAATCCATGCTGTCTATATGACACATGTACACATTTGCAAAAGGTTGAGGTGCTACAACACTGATAGGACAGTTGCACTACAAAACTTTCTGTGTCCGTGTTTCTTACGAGCTGTCAGCTTCCCTTTCCCAGCCCAATTCCTTTGGGTAGAGAAGGGACAGCAGTGGCAGAGATCTCACCTCAACACACGCACAGGCTATGGGTGAGGCATACTGAGGAGGACTCCAGGCACTGACAAAAGAGCAGCAGTGACATGCTGCTGGTGCTGCCATTGTCAGCTTTGTCTTTTGGCCTTGGGACAACTCCCTGCAGCCTTGAGGTCATAAGAGTGTTGGAAGTAGCCAGACCAGCCTTCAGGCCACGTAGCACCTGGTGAGCTGTACTTTTAGTACTGGTTTGTCTTGTGTAGAAATGGTAATCATTATAGAGTTCTAAGGTATTAATACCCCATGATCCAGAAGACTCTAAAGGGAACACAAAGGCCATGCCTCCAGTGATAAAATTGGTGTCTAAGTTATACTTCAACAAAAGTGAAACTGCCCAGCTGCCTTCATCTCACCTACTGCCAGGAACTCTAGGACTTTATAATCTTCAGCTGCTTTTTCTCAGATAAGCAATGTTGCAAAAGAACACTCAGCAAACAAACATGTGGTTTGTTATCTCTCTATTCTTTTATTTGAATGAGAAAAATTGCAAATGCTGCTTTTCTTTGAAGTAATTCTGTGAGTTTCAGTTGGGCTTTGTGTGCCTAAAGTACCTTTAACCATGGGTGGGAGCAAGTCAAAACTGGCTGCAAACTTCTGACAGTAAATTCAAAAGAAATGTATCACTTTCAAAATTCAAAATTTTTCCATTTACTCTATTTATTAAGACTTTCTATTAAATAGCAGAATTTTTCAATGATCACGTATTTTTTTGTCTCCTTGTCCCTGGGTGACTGAGAGAGAAACCCAAATGATTTTGAAATTCAGAAATTAGCACAGATCTGATCATGCTGCCTTGAAGAAGTTCTGAAAAATCAAGTTGTTCTTTCATTAACTTCTATGGATGGCATTTATCTAACCGAAATGTGGGCATTTTAACATTAACCTAGCTATGTAGATCCCCTTGATAACCAAATCAGAGAACCAGGCATATCCAGAACGTAACTCATTTAAAGCACACCACTGAGACATGTATTGTTCCTGACAGATTGTAAAGGGAGTAGAAATTACAAGTTTATCTTTAGACATAGAAAAAAGTATTTTTAGGTTAAACAAAATCTATATTCTTTCTACTACTTTTCTAAAATAATTTCTGATCTATATTCTGAAATAATAATTTCAGATATGTTTTGAAAGGTACTTTTCTTTTCTTGAAATAAGGCATTCTTTAAATAATCCTGAGGACAAATGCCAAGAACTGTGTTGATTTCATATATACATACACACACACACACACACACACACACACACTAGACTCTAACTGAGGCAATGGGCAGTCAGGCTCACCTGAAAAAGAAATATGATAAAAGGCATCAACTAAGGCATAAGATACATGGAGGCAATCTATGAAATAAAAGGCACAAAGCTCATAATTGTACTATGGCAGAAATTTTATTTAGGAACATGAAGGAGTAAGTAAGAGTGGTTGACTTTTTTTTTTTTTACCATCACTGAAAAAAAGTGTCCAAATTGGGAAGCTAAACTCCTTCTGTTTTTCTTTAGTCAAAGGGGAGAGTTTGAATTTTTCTAATGAAAGATACCAGACATTTGTATTACATACGTGATTTTGCTTAAGGTAAGTAAGATAAAGAGAGGTGAATAAACACCTTCACTTTTTTTTTGTAGAGATACCATATACATACGTCCTCATGGCAGATCACCTGGGAGTGAACTACTGGTTCCATGTTTGTGTGGAACTTTACTGTGCATGAAAAACTGTTCTCCTGTTCTGCCATTTAGAAAGGAAAAATCTACTAATACTAACCTGGGCAGGCATGAAAATATTAATCACTAGTGTAAATGCAAAACCACACTTTCTCAAAAGACTTATAGTATAGAATTGAGATAAATTAATGGCATAATGCTTGCCTTATATAAGTTTTTGAGCTATTTGGTAGATAAAATATTGTGTTATATACTAAATGGGAAATAATGAACAAGAACACATCTATTTAGACAGACTGTTGAGTCCCTTCACTTTTAGAAGTTTCAGCCTCTCACCTTATTATGGTAATAGAAGGACTTCAATAACCCAGTTAATCTTTAAAGAGTCAACAATAATTTTTATTAATATAACAAAAAATTCTTCCTGAAATATATTATAATTCAGTTTATAGACCTTACTTCACCTTTGCACTTATCTGTGTGTGCAAACAAGTTTCTGTAAGACTTTAAGGACAACAGTTTTCCTTTGAGAAATATCTGAGTTGGTGTTTTCAGTTTGGAATCCAGTCCAGTTGGTTTGGCTGACCTGAGGGGGGAGAGGGGAGGGTGCATGTGATCGCCATTGGACTTGAGTAGTGTTGGGTGTTGAGCCATAGCACCCCTCCAGGAATGCCAGCATTTTAAGCAAGGGGGAGATTAAGGAAGACTATTAGAAATGCCAACACCATTATTCACCACTAGTACCCTAGTTAGCAAGTACCCTACCAGTTACTAAGTAAGGATGTGTTCCCGGAGACATTGCAGCAGAATCACATGCTGGAAAAAACTGTAGGATATGATTGGTGGTAATTTCAGGTCTGATACGTAATTATCAAGTTTCAAGTGAGTTACAGGTTTTGCATCAAGATAACTGCAGAAAAGCTAATAAGCATCAATTAGATTAGTTGAGGTGACCATAAGAAGAAATGGCAGCCCTAAGCCCCCAAACTCTCAAAACATAAGGTTCCTTAGTTGGATAAACTGAGGAAGGAGCTGGAAAGCCAGTAAGGAAGGGACGTCAGTACTCCCGGTGGAATTAATTCAGAACTGACACAGAGTTTTGCAGGTGAGAAACCTTTAGGCAAACTGGGTATAACATTACCCTTCAGCCACATAAAATAGCACTGAAAGGAGGGGTTCATCCACTTCACTTTAAGGTAACAGTCCTAAGAGGAAGCATAATGAGTTTTCATTTGTATGGGATATTGCTATGAGCCTCCCTATCACACAGCACCTTGTTTCATGCCCTGACTCTTGCACCAGAAATTGTGGGTGCCCCTTGTCTGTGATCTGTTTCAGGGAAAAATGACTACACTGTAGCTAAAAGTATTCTTCATGTAATTCACTGAATAAGCTAAAAGCAGTGGATATATTTAGGTTTTTTATTAATCTCCGTTGTTATTGTCCACAGCTATTGTCTTGAATAGGCTTTCTATTTTTTTTGTCACAGGCCTTTCGTATTTGGTAGGGAGGATCTCTCTGGCTGCAGTATCCTCCAGCAAACAGGGCTATAAAAGGGTTTATAAATTGCTACTGGTGTTTCTGTGAGTAAAGGTCACCAGCCAAACCCTGTGGTCACATGACAGGACCCAACCACTAATGCAGTAAGACATGCTGTGGTAGGAGCATCTGAGGGGAAATTATACTGTGTGTGTTGTGGATCTAGCAGGAGGTGCTGCATCATCATAACCTGGCTCTTTCCTACATCCTTGAAGCTAACATTTCTCCTTCTTAGGAAAACGTCATTCCCATGTTGTCTATTAATCCCATTCTCCCCTCTGCAAAAGCCTTCCTGCGTTCCCAGCTGATCTTGCCTCACCAAAAAGAGTAACCTACACTGAAGATCCTGACAATTCAGACTATAAATTGTAATTAATCAGCACATAGAGAAATGCCGGATTCATATCTGTGGTGGGATCTTACCAAATGCAGTTTTTCTTCCCCAGACAAAGCAGTATTCTTTCCATGAGGCTGGCTGGCTGGGAGTCTGGCTGGACAAATGGCTACAAAGGCAAGTGTAAATCCAACATTTCCAGAACTCCAGTTCATAATAGTAAAAGAAGATTAATTACCACCAAGGTAAAAATATGGATTGAGGAGCAAGCTATACACAAGATGTGTAATGAGTACCTGGTGGTGTCCTAGGTGTACTTCCCAGATCACAGTGCTCCAGAGGAGTCAAGACCATGCTCAGATTTCCTGAATAGACTTGCTTGCAGGACCAATGTTAAGATGCGCAATTATGTATTTTATATATATATATACATATGAAAGAAATCAGCCAATAAAAAATATTTATCAGACCCAAACCATGAAAAGTGTAATTAACCTATAATTTTCATTTTTATAATGGTATTATGGAGGTGTATTTAGCTTAGAGGTCAGATTGCTTAGAGGTCAGATTGTACCATAATCTTCACTGCTTTTTTTTATCCTTAGCTTGAAGGTGAAGCTGATCATAGAGTCAGCTATCTGTAGAATTTAGCACCTACAGCGTGGTCTTCAGCATCACCTTTTCAACACCTACTATAAAATACTTCAGCCTTATTTTCACTGTGTGATGGAATTCATTCCATTAAGTCAGACTACACCAAAGATCCACTCACTGAAACATGTACTTAAAAGTTGATATAACCAAAATAGATACATTCCTGACAGCATCTGAGTGGTAAACACCTGTGTAATGGAGGAAGATGATAGTAAATTTTTAATATAATATGTCTATTTTTTCTTAGAAATTGTTGTGAAATACAGCCCTAAGATTGCTTATGAAGCCAAGAAAATCTTTTGGCTGTTTATTTGTATATCACCAGGGAAAGAAAAAACGGCAGCAAAAATTACTAGAATCACATTGTGAGT